TATATATATATGTACATTAGACTGCATCACTCCCCATACCAAAAAAACGGTAGTATTTTTCCATAGGAATTATAAAATCTATTATATTTTAAGACGTCCACCAAAATATTTGGGAAAAATATTAAGATTTAAGTGAGCTGGACCGATTTGAAAATACCTCCAAAAATGGTATTTTTTATGAATAAAAATAGTTTCTTCAAGATTTTTTTTGAAAAAATCCCCTCAAATTACAAAACGGTTTAAGCTTAAAAAAAACTGCGTAAAAATATTTTTAAAAAATTTAAAAAAAATTTGAACGGAATCGTGATAATGAGATTTTTGATGCTGTTTTTAACTTTTTTCAAAAGATTGGTATAAGAAAAACTTGAATAACTGAGCCTAAAGTCTCCCGATTTAGACTTGTGAGATATCATTGGAGAGGTATTTTCACACCCTTTTTATTTCTTTGCTAATAAACTCATTCAGACGATGGAAGAGAAAGGTAGGATGAAAGAACGTCATTCAAAGTGGAATTAAGATGTGTTGGTATTCGAAAAAACAAGATGGGACACGAATGACGTTTTTTTTTGGCCAGAAATAAACATAGTGCGAAAATACCTTTCTACTGAGATCCCATAAGACTAAATCAGAACATTTTTGGCCCAGTTATTCAAGTTTTTCGTAAACCAATCTTTGAAAAAAGTAAAAGTTATTCATAAAAAGCTTCATATTTGGAGGTATTTTCAAATCGGTCCAGCTCGCATAAATCTTAATATTTTTCCGAAATATTTTTGATGGACGTCTTAAAATATAATAAATTTTGTAATCCCGGCGGAAAAACCGCAACTTTTTTTGGAGATGCAGTATAATGTACATATGTATGGATATGGAGACATGGGAAATTTGCGTAAACAAAGAATAGAGGCTGGTTCACATACAACTTTGCCGTTGCGTTGGCGTTGAATTTCAAAGCAACCGTCCACATAGCCAAAATTTGCCAACGCTAAGAGCCGACAAACATATACACAAAGCAGAAAGATCGCTGCGTCGGTCGACAGCTGTTGCAAATAAATAAAATTATATGACATGTTTTTTTCCTTTTAATTAAATGAGGGCAAGAAATATAATTTTTCATGCAATTATTGATATGAAATATTAATTTATCTCTCGTTAATATGTTAATTTAGTGGCCAAAGTAGTCTCTGCCAAGCTTCATTGTAGAACGCATACTTTTAACGTGCGTTCTGTCAAACCAACGCCAACTACAAAGTCAACGTGAAAGTTCTATGTGGACCAGCCTTAATTATCAAATACTGTTTAACACCCCAAATAGTAGTTTGTATTATACTACATACATATATATGTATGGGGACTAAACCTGGAACATTCATTTGAAAATGCTAATGTCCTACTCATTTAAGAAATGAAAGACAAAATAATGATTTTTATAAATATTATATTCTCATTTATACATATGTAACATAGTTACTTAGCGGAATTACTTAGTAATTACTTGAATGTAAGAATACAAAGACAAATTATTTATCAGAAGCATTGCCCCTTACGCATTGAAAAAAAGTAATAAAAGCTCTCAAAGAAGCAAAATCGCTACAGCGAAGAAAGGGTTTGAAAAACCGCATAAATTCAAATCCGCATAACAAATAACCGCATAAAAAGAGACGTTAGTGTGTAAGTTGAAATTTTATAAGAAATTATTGAACATTAAAAAAATTATACCTACATACATAGATATGTATGCACATATGTATGTGCCTACCTAGTAGATAAAACTGGTCAAAATAGCACGCATCTATTCTGTGCATGAGAATATATACATAAACTAGCATTACCCAGTGGGCTTCGCACCACCATACATAAAATGTTTTTTTTTTATATCGCAAGAAATTTTTCATATTAAGTTTTCTTTATAGAACTCGTAAAATGTTTAAACAGTTGAATTAGTTGATTTTTTTCATTCAGCATACTTTCTAAAGATGTCACAATAGCCTTTTCTGTACTTTTTTAAAATTTGATTGTGGTGGTCACCTATATACAGGTAAGGTGAAAGAGCCGATAAAAACTTGTAATTAAACTTTGATTCTTTAATTTCCATTTCAATTTTTTACGCTAAATAAATTATGCTAAAATAAATAAAGTTAAAAATGTTTTTCCAGTTCCTCCTGTAGCATTCAATTTTTTATTATATTTTCGTCCAAAATGACTTGCAATTCGATAAAAAATTGATTGCTAAAAAGATTTGATTTGAACACAATAACGTACAAAATAAAATGAAATAATTTTTATTTTTATTTCGGAAAAAGAAAAGCAACGTTTAATTTAATACAATTGTATACACAACATTTTTTGTTTTATTTTGTGGTGCATAAATAAACAAATTTTTTGGCGCTACAACTCTCGAACATGTAACTCCACACACCTGGAGCGTTTGCCCTTGGGCTTTGTTTACGGTCATAGCAAAAGATAGCCGAACAGGATGTCCGTTGGTATTAATGGGATGCGCGGTATTGGTACAATTTCACCTTTTGCTTTGCCAGTGAGAATTGTTGCTTGAATTAAATTTGGCATCAATTTCTTCACTGAAAGTCTCGTCCCATTACAAAGTTTCGGTGCATTAAGATTTCGGAGAAGTATAATCGATGAACCAACTTTCAAATTCAAATTATGCGGTGCCATGCCTGGTGGTTCCAAAGAATTTAAAAATTCGACCGGATAATTGACTGCGTCTTCATCATTCATAGCAGTATCAATGGATTTATACGTTACCGAATCACCTGGCAATTTTTCCTGGGTGTGGAAATTAATTTCATTGACATTGATATTTTTTGGTGCTAAAATTGCACGTTCTCGTAACCAATCATGGTTATTGTAGTTTTGAACAATATTTGGGAAAACGCGATCAATGAGTTCTTGTTTTGATGATACAATTATGCAAAAATTATTCGGTAACATGATAAACCCATTTTGATCACTTGCAATTTTTCCATCGCCAATCTTCAGCAATTGCTTTGAAAACTCACGTGCTGATGAATCATTTTGAAGACGCACACGCATATTGGTCGTCAACGAAAGCCTTTGTACGTGTGCCCACAAAAATGAACTTTTCAAACATGCATTAATTTCATCAGCTGGTGTTGATCTCGGAATAACAGGCAACGTTTGACGAAAATCACCAGATAACAATATTAATGCACCGCCAAACAGCTGTTGACTCTGTCTCAAATCTTGCAATGTTGGACTTAAGGCTTCCAAAGATTTTTTATGGGCCATTGGACATTCGTCCCGTAAAATAATCGATGTTTGTTGCAAGACTTGACACAGGGACGGCACATAAATTAAATATGATATTGTTTATTCCCAACGAAGTAATAACCTTAAACGTCGGCATAAATCCATCTCTTATAATATTTGTAGCTCCAAAAGATGTCATTTGAAAGCATGAATTGTATTTTTTAATGTTTAAGAGGAAATGCTTCGACGTTGGTGAATTGCCAAAAACCAATGAATGCAAAGGTTCTGGCGGAAGTTCTAGCACCGTCAATTTGACTTTCCCACCAGCACAGCACATACCAGGCGTTTCGTTTCTGAATTTAATTGCTTTGCAATGTATACATTCTATATTCATTTGGCCAATGTAGGCATGCATGCTGTAATCAATGGTGGCATCGTAATTGAAGGCCGCGCGTTCCATTTGACGTATATCATAAACGGACGTACGCCCACGACGGTTTCTTGGTGCTTCACTATTAACCGACTGATTTCTCCGTCTGTGTCGTTGTGTTTCCACTTCATTTCGTCGAACACGATCTTCTTCACTTTGTGATCTTCGATTTAACGCTGTAGCATTTGATTGACGTGAACGTCTGCCAATGTTTGCTCGTCTTGCACGTGGCATTCTTTCAGTACAGTATATTACTAATTGAATGTAAAAGCAAAACATTGAAAATTATTTCAAGAATAAATTATAAATTTAATTCAAAGTTCAATGTGTGTACACATGGTTAACACTCACCAAAAGTATGTCTGTTCGCAATGAGAGCACGATATAAAAGAACTCAAAGCACATAAGAGAACTGTCAACTGAATTCCAACGACAGCAAATTAATATTAACATAATACACTTACAACCACAACAGTACAACAGAAACGCTCATAAGCGGCTGTGTATTCGTTGTTGTTTTTCCCATACAGGCATTTCGTATGAGAGGAAACCATTACTCACATAAAATGTCATAACTCAGGAACGGCTGCACCGATTTCAATCAAACTTCACACAAACCACCTCCTCAAAGATAGAAAACGCTTTTTGTGTCAATCGGTTCGGCGGTTCTTGAGTTATAAGATTACCAAGGAAATGTAACTTCTTTTTATATATATAGATATATATATACATATGTGTATACATGTATGTATGTATATACATACATATCTGCATGCGTGCATATAATCCTTTACTCGAAATTCTTAGTTGATGCAATTTTTATCCCATACATTTTTGCTGACCAAACAACCCGTTTGCCTGTCTAATCTGCTTGCCTCATTTGGCTCGCTCGTTTACTCGCCTCATTTGCCTCGCTCGTCTACTCGCCATGCTCGTCTGCTGCTGCAAATGAGTGCCTCGCTCGCAACGACGCCCTCGCGAGGGCAGAGCTAATGAGGTGCTCGTTTGCGTGCCGCTCTACTCTTGCGCTGCCCTCGTTTGCTTACTCGCTCGCTGGCTGCTTACCGCGTGCGCTCGTACTAAACGAGTGCTCGTTTGCAAACAGCCTCGCCTGTTCCTCGTGAGTTGCGCAAGCTCGGAGCAAACTAACGAGCGAGCGAGGGTCTAAAATGAGGCAAATCCGAACCCTGCTTTTGAGCCAATTAATAAAGTTTGCACTGAAGTTGCCAGCAAATTTCGTTGATTTTTAGCATTTTTTTTTGCTGACAGTGTCTTCCATATAAAAAAGTTATCGAACATAGTTTGTACGGAAGAAACTCTCAGTAAAAACAATACCAAAAATCAACTAAAAATTAATGGGCTGCAAATTGGTATGCAAATTTATTGAATTTTCCCGAGTTTAACACAAAGTTCAACAATTTTATTTTTATGTTTTTTCATATATTTAGTTAAACTGTATTTTTATAAAGAATAAAAAAAGGTTCATGTATTGTGAACAATTCTCTGTGCTTTAGTTGTGATAAGTTGCTTTGTTTTGTTGGCGTACGTTGTAATGGTCTCATGATCTCATGTTTTTATGTTTTTGTTTTTGTCTGTCAAAATAAAATTTCACATCGTTTCGCACGTCGAAATGAAAGAGAAGGGAGCGAGAGGCCCTCCCTAAAGTGTCCCGGTTTGGCAACAGAGATATCTGGCAGCCCCAGCTTATACGGCAACACGTTGTCTAACTCAGGTAATTGAAAAGGCATTGCTGTGTAAGCAAATAGCTCTTTACGGGTTCATGGCCATGACAGCTATTCCTAATGTTATAACTGCATGGAACATAAGCATGTTGAATCCAGAACTATAATGGCAGAACAAAGAGACGACAGACATTCGATCCTGGATAAGCAAAGGATTTTACGTAAGCTACTCATCTTCGTGGTGGGATACAATGAAGACAACATTGCCTCTAGATTGCAGGGAGTCTGACAGTGGTCAACTGAAAGTCTTATCTCATAGCTGTTAGGAACTAGGCTCTCAGAGGCATTGACGTTTTGGGCATTTAATACAGTGACAAAACCGATTACTAAGTACAGGAGACTAAAAGTTAAGCAGCGATCTGTCTGCGTAGCCATTATAGGAGCCATGCGCACATGCCCTACGGAAGCACTGTCATCATCACATACTATACTAATAGACAATGAGGCTTGCTGAAACGATTTGTATCTCAGCTACTTGATGAGCATAAGAAGCCGGACCTTCAAGGATTCTTGATAGTTTTAAAACCAATCTGTGTGGATCCCTCGTTAAACTCACAGTCAAAATGTTACCGAAAGTATCCTTCCAGTAGCCCTACAAGGTAATACTTTCTAAAAGGTAACTCATTTTCGTTGTTGGTGTTTTCGACGGGGCAGGAGTACGACAGCTACATATATGTATGAGCAATGTGTATTTTTAAAATATTTGAATAATTAAATCTATAGCTTAAACCTATTTTGGTACATTTTTTGCATTTTGGTACACGTTTTGGTACACAAAAAAACCAGTAAGTAACTAGTAAGTAAGTTTCTCAGAGCGTATGCGTACCTTAATCATACACTTGTACTACTGCTGTATGCATATGGCTGTATTAATGTTTCATACATACAAAAATGCATTAATGGAACAGTATTAAAATGCTACTTTTCTGATACATTTTAATATACGGGGACATACAAACAAGTAGCACTTACATATGCAAATGCATATCTTGTAAAAGCCCGTTTATACTGAAAATTGTATCGCACAACACGTCCGTTCACTAAAATTTTTGTACAACACTTAAAATATTACAAAAATTCCACTTCCAATTTATCAAGAAATGTACTTAAAACAACGACAACGTACATTCGGTTGCAATTCGCTAGAATCTGAATTCATTCGTGGAAATTCATGACTACGCATGAATTTTTCACACTAATTCACTCATATAGGAAACATGCTTCAAGAATGCATACAACCCATTTCTACTGGGTACATATGTTTACACGCAACATGATTCAATAATGAAAGGTTTTGTAAGAAAAACTTTCTCTCGCTCTAATTTTATCAATGACACTCCCACCCTACTCCCAAAAACAAAAACAGTGATATTTCTTTTCCAAATTTCTTTGCAGGTTTTAAGAACATTTTTAAATTTTTAGTAGTGAAACTTTTACTTTTTAAATTTGAAGAAATGTTTGCTCTTCATTCGCTGGCGACAACAAGACGAAATGGGTGGATTACACAAATCCAATGCAGGCTAAAGAGACGAAATTCCCTTAAATGCCGAAATGTCTTTGTCGATATTCGTGGAGACCTATTGATTCTGCCAAGGGGTTGTAAAGTAAAGCGCGCAATGGTTCTGGTAAATGAGCCAGCGAAGATATTTAGGTATTGACCTACACAACACAATCCTGCAGTGGAATTCTAACAATCGCTATGCTAAATTTCCATCGCTAAAATTGTCTAAATTAACAGCCGCGGGGCCTAAAAGTGCGCAATATGGAAAAGTAACAGAAAAAAAGTGTAATCAGGCAAATCTGGCGGTATGAGGGGCATGTAACTAAACGTTGCATGTTGTTAAGAGCGCCTGCTATTCCTTTAGAGACCTTTTGCGATCAAAATTAGCGATAGCGAATGCTGGAATCCGGCTGCGGGTGTCTCCGAATGACACTTTGACACAATATAATATTAGCAAACCGCGTCCATGGGGCCAATCGTAAAACCCGACAGCTCGGTTTAGTCAATGGCGCCATATAATTGCACACTTACGGCACTTCTCATTTGACGATGTAGATCACGTTCCCTGTGTAGTTAACAATATCGTATATACTTACAAGTATGGAATCCTATGCCCCTTTTTGTATATTCTCTTTCTAACAGCGGACGTGCCTGCCAAACTAAAAAGCATGATGGCGGCAGTGTTTGACAGGCACCTTCGACGATGCGAACGGCAATGGAAGGTAAGAAATGGAAGATGGATGACATGACAATGAAAGAAGTATGAAATAGCAGAATGTCGAACCAAAACGAATTTCAAAAATCTGACAATGCGAATGACGTCAAAATGAAAGAAATGCAAAATACCGAAATGTCGAAACAGAAGAAATAGATGACAGGTACGTGTTCAAGGGTTTCGTGCAACAAAAAGAGTTGTTGTGTTGCGCCATTCAATATTAAAAAAAAAGTAATGTGGTTGAATAAGCTTTTTTATTAAGTTGAAAAATTACATATTTCGCCAGCCAAAAAGTGTATAAATAAATATATAGCATATTGCTATAAGATGTATTTATAAAAAGGGTACATGCTTATGGCCTTATTCATAAAAAAGAAAATAGATGTAAAGTAACATTAAAAAAATCGATTTGTTTACTTTTTAAGAATTTGGGAAAAACATTTAACTCAAGTTTTGGTGCACCCATCTTTTTTCTGTTTATTATTTTAAATTTTTCTTTTCCTTAATACTCATTGAGTTTTCATTTACACCCAGCAAAAATCAAAATATTTTATAAGAAATTTGTTGACCGTTTTTCGCACACTTCTCTCATGCTTTTTTATCGTAGTTATTATTCTGTTGACATCTAAATTGCCATACATTTTATGTTGTTGCCAATACGTTGTTTTCCGGCGTTTCCTCTGTGAACTTTTATAACTACATTCATAAAAATATTACTAATTTTGGTTTATAATTTTTTTTCCATATTTTTATTGCTGAATATCAAAAAGGAATTAATAAATAATAAAAAGTTAGTTACAATTTTAGCGAATGGTTCTTGCAAATAATATTATTTAATGATTGAAATGACTTTTTGCCAAAACCAAAGCAGACGGGAAGGAAAAATAGTTGTTCATTAACGATTTGTCTGAATTATCGTTCTTGAAACGCATTACTGCTCACTAAATTTGTAAAAATAAAATTTTTTCACTTAATTATTATATTCTTCCTCACTGTGGTAAATTTACTCATCATCACAGCAGGGCGCAATCTTCTTTTCGATGATTATTGTATTGCTACTTTGAATTTCTCAATTTTGACAATTCTGATCTAAAAGTAAGCGAAACCTCAGAAACTTTAAATGCACTGAAATTCACTAATACCCACTTCCGCAAAAATCCCCTTATTTCGTATTTCCTTTGTTAAAAGTTATTGTAAATCATATATTTTTATTGCCTTATTAATAAAAAATAAAAATTTTAAAAAGCTTTTTAAATTGCCGTTTACAAAAATTTTTCAATTTATAAGCCTTTTTTAAGCTACTTTATTGTTTATGAATAAGGCTATTACAAATTAGCAGAATCAAAACACGTTCCTTATCGAAAAATTTATTATTAAGAAAATTTGCTGTTCTCACATTTTCTTTCAACATCCAATTCGACTTTTATTACTTTTTGTACAGATATGTCATCGCCGCCAGGACGGCGCAATCTTGTATTCTTTCTTGTCAAATATGCATTTAGATCTA